GTCACTCATCCATTTTTTGAGTCCTAATCCTACCTAAACCCGAAGCCGTTAGGACCCATTTAGCTTTCCCCGGCCCTACCCGACCAGCCCAAAGCCCCCATCTAAACCCACAGGACAAGGTTTCAGAAGGTCGCGGGATTTTGGGATTGAACGTTTAGGGCCCGAGCCCGAAAGCCCAAACCTAAAGAACATGGCCAGATGATTGGGGCGACTTTGCCTCAGCGCCGGGGCAGGCTCCCCCTCTCTTGGGCCGGACTTCTCGAAAGGCTCAGGTTTCACTTCAGGGTTTTGCGTGGTTACCAGATGGGGTGCTCGAAGATCAGCTCGGACGAACACCCCTTTGCCAGGGAAAGCCACCAGCAGCCGAGGCAACGGCAGGCTCTCCACAGCTGCAAATTTTCGCTTTGCGGTCTGAAAAGCGTCATTGGTGGATTTGGAGGGTTGAAGGGCATGGTCGGCCTAGACGCGTGGCTCCACACGACTGGCGAGTGGGGCAAGGAAGCGCAGTTGTGGGCTTTGAGCCGCGACTGGGGCACCCTCTAAAGCTTTTTTAGAGAAGGTTTTTAACTTCCTGCTGTACATTGTACTGTAGCAGATCGGATGGGGCCACTGTATTGCACCATTGGGTCTGGATTTCATCAAATACTGCAGCTTCTTTCTAGAGCAGGCACAGCAGCTGCATCCGCGGCTGCACCTGCAGATCCGGCAGCGGACCTAAGGGAAGTTCCATGAAGAATTTCAGGGTGCAGGCTATGTTTAGGATTTCAGGGCTCAGAGGGCTCAGAGGGCTCTTCTCTGTGTCTCAGAACGTAAAGCCCTTGGCGTGACCTTTTGCAGAGCTTGGGCTGTGAGGGGAAGTCATTGGATCATTTGCGGGAGGAGGAGGAGGGAAATTCTCGAGAAAAACGCAATCCGGCGACCGTCGAACCATCTTGGGTGCGATGATGTGCGATGGCTTTTAGTTTGTTTTGGCCCAAAAGTAGGAAAGTTTGGATGAGGTCGACACCTTCGACCCAATGGAGAGCTCCGCGAAGCCTGCCAAAGCAGACCCATATGCGGACTTGGGTGTCTGGCAGCACGCTTTGAGAGTTGAAGGTATCGGATTGGGGGGCGTGCTGGCAAGCTTAGCAGTGACATCGGCCAGGAGTGGCATCCCAGCAAGCTACAAAGCCCACCCCAAAGTACGCCCCGAGCTTCAGACCCAAGCCCCGAAGTCCGCAGCCAAAGCTCCAAGTACCAAATCCTAGACTGCTCAAGTTGCGATGCTTGAGATTCTTTAGATATCTTTCCCGCCAGAAGCTATGCAGCAGCAGAAGAAGAGCGACGAGAATCTAATCTCCTTTGGTGCTCTGGATGAATTCGGTGCGGCCCTTGGGTTTTTTTTTCAAGATCAGGGTGTACCTTCATTCGCCTAGTCCCACAAATCCCACCCTTGCACCTGACACCCCATGTCGATGATGTCAGCAGTTGCTCCGACTTCCACTCAAAAACTGCTGATCTGCAGATCCCGTGGCGCACCAGTGGGCACAGGCCAACAAGGCCCATCGTTTGGGGATTGAGCGCAAAGGCATGATGTCAGTTGAGTTGCGATCGCACCTCTGTCATTCTTTCTTCAAGCCTAAATTTTTTGAGCCTAGCTAGAAATCGTGAAGAGAAGCGCCCGCAGGCGGCGTCGTCCTCGTCTGCACCACAGGCACGGCACGAAATCCCGAGACATATCGGGCTTAGGGCTTCAAGGCTTCGAAGTTCACCATCGTGTGCGCAGACTCTCAGCTGTGTTTGGGTTGGGCTGAGCTCAATCGAGCTCTCCATGTTGCGAAGAGAGACCGTGTGCGTGCGGATGCAGTGAGTCGCAGAAACAGCCACAATGTACCTGCCAAGCGCTGTCGCAACAACAAAAATGCGTGGCCCCAAAGCCAACACACTCATCCGATGTTGCGGGAAATCGCATGGGCCCCATGTCTAAATTAGGGGATCCAGCACCGCAACCCTCCCTGCCATCCCAGCATGAAGCTGGAAGCCCTCTATGCCTTCAGCCGCATGCCCTCAACACCGAAACTCCCGCACCGAAAGAGAAAACTCCAAGTTTCCCAGCTTTTGAGCTGTAAGCCGCCTCAAAGCCAAACCCTAAACCCTGAAAGCCCAACAAGAGGCCGGGGACTTCGACCCAAATTCAGGCGCTGCCTCGGCGCAGAAGGTGTGCTTGCCCGGGAGGTGTAGAGTGTAGGCCTTCGGGCTTCAGGGTAACAGAAGCTTAGGGCTTCTCTGAGGTTTGTTGTTTTGGTATGTGGGGGGGGGGGGGGTGGTTGGGCGACCGCCTGTATCATATGCCCCACCTCGAGTTGAGTTGAGTTAGTTGAGTTGACTTGAGGTGGCAAGAGTTGACGTGAGTTGGGGATGTGCTCTTTCTAGACGTCTGAAGCTTGAGCCCAGCCCCTAGAATGCCAAGCCGGAACGTCTTGCCCACGCTTTTATTCACTACACGCAAATGCTAGCCACAAGGAACTGTCAAACCCGAATGTCAGCAAGCCCAGAAATTTCTGGAATCTCAAGCCACCGACATTACCCTCAAAGCCAAAGCCCGCTAAAGCCAGATGCCAGAGGCGGCCCCGAAGGGCAACGACGGGGACCTCCTTGGCTTAGGTGGGGTGCTGGGGCCCTGGCAGTTGAGCTTTAGGAATCCTTAGATGCCCTAAGTTCATTCAAGTCCTCAAGCCCTCCTTTGTGGGTTCAGTGTTTAACTGCGCGAATCAGGGTATTGTTGTTTTCGTGGGGCATGGTCTTTGGGGGCTTCGTGCCGAGTCTAAGCCTCTAAGCTCCGAAGAATCAGCGGCACGCAATCGCTTAGCCACTGCCCCACATCATCCCTTGTGCCCTGATGTGCCCTGATGTGCCCTGATGTGCCCTGCATCCCTCCGGAGAAACGATTCAACCTTACAGCAAGAGTTCTTCAGGAGCACCCATAAGGTGGCAGCTCAAAGGGAAGAGGTTTAAGGGATGGTAAGGGTGTAGCACGACGATGAAGCCCTCACAAGCCTCTGCGAGCACTCGCAGGGCAGTGATCCCTAGCCACCCCAAAAACGGCTCAAACCCTACAGGGGCTATACAGGAGCTACGGGGTCATAAGTTATAGGTTGCTAAGCCTGCGCAGCTCAGGGCGGCAGCGCCTGCAGATACCGAGGCGGCTTCTTCTGTTTTTGTGGGCTGATGTTTCGCGGGCTGATGCATGCTGTTTGGGAGCCCTCAACCCGAAGCCCGAAGCCGATTTGGGGGGGGGGGGTTTTGGAAGCGGTAACTTACAGCAGTGTGCCTTTGGGTTTGTTTGTACTTGCAGCATGTTGTAGGACTCTTGCAAGGCTTCCGATTGTGTCGGGAAAGCTTCCAAACACACAGGGTCAACTGCTCTTTGATGGTTTGGGCATGTGCGTTTCGTTCTTGAGGAGGCTTTGACTTCAAGGTCTGGAATTGCAATGCTGCGAGGCAAGGTTTGGGTATGCAGGCTTGGGAGCCTGCAAGGGCGTCGAGGCCCTTCTGGCTGTTGGATGCCATAAGTTTCAGGCTCAGAGAGAATGATATTTGCCACTAGTAAGGTTTGTAGGGGGTAGGCCAACCCCTGTTTGTCAGCTAGTTGTTCAGAAAGCTGCCCCAGTTCCAAGACCTGCTACAGTTCTTCCAAATACGGCCGCAAAGGCCTCAAGCCCAAACCCAGGATTCCGACAAGAAGATGATTTTCGTTTATCACAAGGGCGAGAAGAACTGCGTCAAGAGCTTAGAAATGCTCGCTCAGTGTTACGAGAAGGGGAGACCACCGCATTGGGTTGCCGTCAAAAAAGGCTCTGATTCCCCAAAGAATAGCAAGCCAGACAGAGCTTTCGAAGTTCCTTAAGTCAATATGACCTTGCGAAGATCTTGAGTAGTCAGGCCTCAAATAGTCATAGAGATCACTGAGACTGCTTCATAGGGCACGCTGGAAGGCAAGCCCCTCTCACACAGGGGTTTCCATAGCGTGGAGAATTCGGGCTTGCAAGTGTTTGCAGTCCTGAGATGGGTTGATAGGAATCCCTTGGCCCGGATCACTCCCAGGTCGGTTGGTACTCGGACATGCAGCCCATAGACATCAAAGAGGCCAGAGCCTCTTTGGGTTATGAAATCGTGTTTCGTCCAGCCCCTGGCGCAGCATCGCGCAGCCCGGGTGACTCCTTTGGCCTCGTTGACCAGAAAGCCCTGAGCTCAAGCTCGAAGCCCAAAGTTGTCAAGACGATGAGCTCGCCTGCGCCAAAGCTGAAGTGACATGTGCCCCGTTTCGAATTTGCATAAGTTCAGTGGCTACTTGTGTTCACCCAAGAATCCAAACCGGTTAAAACACATCCTGAACCTACATGCCAACCCTAAAAGCACAAATGCTCCTCAGTTCCAAGATGTTACGAACAACAGTTGCTTCTGGGAGGCCATCCTCTGCGCCTGCGATGCAATCATGGACGGAGGCGGGGAGGGTGCTTTGTGGAGCATGAAACCTCAGTCTTCTCGTGATTCAGCCCTTGTATGCCCCAAGAGCTCAGGAGAGGCTCTTGTCCACACGGCCGGCTTTACGCAGTCCGATTGCAGTCCGTTGCGCCCTCTCTCAGGTTTCGTCCTTCGGGAGGTGCAGTTCGAAGGCCGGTTGTCTACTCGGGATCGGATCCGGGCTCAGGCATCCTAGGGCTCAAAAATGGTCAAAAGCTATTGAGCAGCCCGATCCACACATGAAGCTCACGGGCTGGCCATCCGACACAGAGTCGAAGGGTGAAGAGACGTGTCAGGAGCAGGTCTCTGAATGGGACTTGTCTGTTTCCTGAACTCTGTACACATGTGCCTTACGATGTATGGCTTCTGCCAAGGACGAGAAGGGACTATCGTGAGACTATCGTAGACATTTTTTGCATGACAGGAGCCATTAGGAGCTCGAGGGTCCAACAGGCAAGGTATCAGGACATGTATGACATGTTTCAATCGGTGTTCCCATGTCCGTGTCTGCAGATGAAGAAGAGAAGACGGAGCCAAAAGAGGACTTCCCATTGATGGGGGCTATGGGCTTGCACCTGGCATCTTCAGTGGAGGGAGTCCAATTGATGGTTTTCGAATCAGGCTTGAAGGTTCAGGGTGTGTGGGTTATTGTGGGTTGAGTTGAACCTCCAATGTCACCCTGAGAAATCCTCAGCCCCCAGATGCCTAGCATCGGCGTGCGAGTTTTCAAGGCCACGTGGCCCTTGTCATCCTTGAAGCGTGGACAGGATGGCCGCGTCTTCGAATTCGAGGAGTTCGACCAGCTTCGAAATGGACAGACCTACATCATCGAGGCTCCATAAACGCCCTAAAATCCTAAGCTCTAAGCCTCGTCAATTCTGAATGCAATTTAGGTCAAGAGGCCAGAGGCCGGTGTGAGTTTTGGGAAAACATTCTAAGCAGCATTTTGACAAACTTGGACAAGGTCCACTTGCATTTTGGATATGTGCACGGTGCTCTTCGCTCATTGTATGCCAGAAGAGTACACCACACATGCGTGTTTCTTTGTCATAAGTCGTAAACCTAGCGTGCGCACCTTGCACCCAGCAGCAAGCCCCTTGCTGCATTGCCAGAGTGAACTGGCCGCTCAATCTGGCAGCACACAGCAGGATCACATCTTTCACTCCCAGGGCTGTGTGCAGTCAGGCTAGCCTGGGGTGCATAGCGTCATAGCAGGTGTGTAATTCAGGTGCTGCGAGGGCATCATTGGCATGTAAACCTTTAACCAAAAGAGCGCCTTGCAGGCGGCTGGCGAGCGTGAGGACTTGAAGAAAATCACAGGCGGGGCTTAGGTGCTTCAAACTCCAAAACGTCCAAACCGCAGTGATCTTTTGTCCCCTCATGGGCTCACCCTCCAGGGACTCGAGGGCCTCGCTAACAAGATGGTGGGGGCTGCGGTATACTGCGGTCGTGGGGAGATCACTGAGATCCCTCGTCTGAGCGGTGCTGAGCCCTGAAAGCTGAAGCCTCAAAGCCCGAACCGAAAAGGCCCAAGCTTTCCGAGCCATCTTTGGAAATTCAACCTATCCCAATTTAGAACCAGGCGAAGCAGGTACATGGAGGGTCAAATCCCTGGATCTTAGTTTATTTGGGGTTCGAAGATTAAGTGCGAGATTGCAGCGACACAGATGGGGGCAACGCAACATAAAACCTTGCGGAGCCAACGCGCAACTTCCTGCAGGTGACCGCTTCCGCCGTCTCAAGGCACCAAGGGTTTTGGAATTTTGGAGCAAAGTTTGCAAGCTTAGGGTTGAGGGCTACTTACGAGTCACTTGGGGCCCAGGGGTTATATAGGGCTTTGGAAGGGGTGCTCTGTTGGCCGCAGATTCTAGACCAGAGGCGGTTAATCAGGGGCCAAGCACCGGAGGAGGGGTTAAAGGCTGCGGGCACCCGTTCTTTTTTGTTTCGGAGTGGAGGCTAACCCCAACCCTACAACATCAGCTTCAGCCTTAGGTGAACCGCGGCGTGCCTGTTGATGGCTTTCGCCCGACTTTGGAATGTCAGAGAGCTGTGGAACCTTGTGGAACATTCCTTATCGCTGGAGTAGCACAAAGGCTCACACATCAAACCCTGATGCCCTCAGCCCCTCAGCCAGTGTGAGGTCACAGCAACAGGACCTCAGTCTAGCTTTGTCCTCAGGTGCAGATCGACCCGATGCTGCATGTGGAGGCTGTGAAGGCGAGCAGCGGGCTGCACGGACGCAGGGAAGCAGCACAAACCCGCTTTTGGGCACTGATCTACTGGTCCGGCTATCGTGCCGTCGGGTATCGGGCACTCATCAGTCACACGAGCTGCAGATCAATTGCGAGATGGACATGTGCTGCGCCACTTTTGCTGCGTGTGCAAAATCCCATTGTAAGGGCAGGGCGGGCGCGCAAAACCCGACCTCAGGCCTAGAAGCCGATAAGCCTCTAAGCCTCTAAGCCCATAAGCCTTGAAAGAATGGAGGCTTAGAGTCAGAGGCTTACTGTAGAGGCTTAGAGGCTTAGAGGCTTATAGGCCGCTACCCTGGACAAGAATCGAAGCCAGCGAACAGGCCGATTTATATCATCGTTACTACATCGGTTCTGAATTCTTCGTCCCTGTTTGGCGTCCACACAGGGACAAAGGACATGAAATCAAGGCTTCAAGGCTTAGATGCTTGCAGCCTATAAGCAGATAAGCCGACAAGCCCATAAGCCTACAAGCCTCTAAGCCTGCAAGCCCATTCAAGCCAAACAGGGACAGAGAACACATTTCTATGTTGATTCTATGTTCTCTTTGTCTGCACCTAGGGACAGAATAGAATCTCGAAGTAAAATAGAAATAGTATGGTTCTATTTTCATTTTTCTATATGCTCCGTCCCTACTTGGACCTGATTGCTGTAAGGCTGTAAGGGCTGGGCGGGCGTGCAAATTCAAAACCAGCCTCTAAGCCGATAAACAGGCTTCTAGGCCGGTTTGGGTCGGTTAGAGGCTTAGAGGCTTAAAGGCGTAGAGGCTGTTCCGAGAATTACGCCCAGGTTGCCCCTCTGTAAAAAACCCACCCAACCCTCCCGCTGCACGAAGTTGCAAAAATATGTCCAAGCAGCAGTCAGGTCAGCATCTGGCAGTTTTGACTCTTACGAATCATGAAAGTATTGTAATCTGGATTTCAACTTGGTCCATGCTGCTTGACGTCCACTACGCTCTGCCATTCCATTGTCCTCAAGTTTGCACACGAAGGGGCTCACCAAAACCTCGAATGTGCATCAGCGTGTGATTTGCTGCAGCTCGATCGTTGATCGACGTCGTCTTACTCAGCCAGGGAAAACCAAAACTTCGGATGCAACCTGTTTGTAAGCTGCCAGCAAAGAGCGTACATCATCAATAAAGCTGCGTTCTGTGATATTCAGCTTTTGAAAGTATGCATCCGACAGCGCAAAAGGATGCTCACGATATGCGCGGAATGAAGTTCCGAGCGGTTGACGATTGCACGGCACTTCAGCCATACAATGGCGACTTGCAGATCAGTAACGACCTGGCCATGTGCCTCACTACCTTCGGATGTGCATGCACATGTGCTGTTACTTGTCTCATTGCATTCTCACAATACGGTAGCAGCCCATGAGGCTTAGCTCAAGCCTTCCGCACGAAACTTAGACATGTCTAGACTCTAGACTTCAAAGCGTCCTTCTAGCCCTGGACTGAGCCTTCAATTTCGGAAGCGCTGAGTTTTGAGGCCCAGACCCCAACAAGCCCCACAAGCCCCAAGCCCATGCGTGTGCCAGGCCATCGACCGCATGCGCCGTGGTGCCAATCTTCTGCCGCTGGGCGGTTGTTGGATGTTCGGGCTTGGATGTGTTTGGGATTTTTGGGGTTGTGATAGCGGTCTGGTCAGAGTTCTGGGTTGAAGCGACTATGTTTTGACAAGTCAGCTGGTATACTCACCATGTTCCGCAAGAATGTTGAGTGGGAACTTTTTTTTTGTAGTGAACTTCAGTGCGAATCTGACTGTCAGAGTATCTAAACGTTGGACCCTCCGCCCAGCATCGTGCTCTTGACGCCTAGCGAGATGGGTACGAAACAGGTTCATCAGGCATTTCACTTTATAACTTCTTTGTGCGTTGCACTGAGGCCACGGAATGTGGCAGGAACATGTTGCCAACAAACGTTCAACAGACCCGTCAGGCCAAAGAGCATGAGTTGAAGAATCCCCAATTCCAACTTTGAGGCCAAACCCCAAAGCCAAAACCCGTCGTCCCACGAACTCCAGCTCAACAACGAGAGCCACTAAGTATCCACTAAGTGCTATATTCAGGAAGCACACGCACTACGGCTTTCCACACCTGCGGCAGTTCCAGGCATCCGCAGTCGCAAGCAGTCGCAAGCATTCGCAAGCAAGCTCGAGAGTCTTGCCATGCGAAGTCCACAGCATGTGGTCTGAGTATGTCTGAGTACTCTTGAAGGCTTTCAGGTCGCCTGAAGGCGGTCTTGGGGCGTTTAGGGTTAGGACACCAAAGCATGCGACAGCCCCTGAGAGTCGCCTCTTTCTTCGCAGTTGAGCGACGACAAGCGCCGCCTCATTTGGTACTCAGGGGCCAAAAGGCAGGGCAAGCATGACTACGGAGTGCAACATGTTTGTAGGTTTTGGGTTTTTGGGTTCACGGTCGAAAACGCTGCAAACGAAGCTTTTCAACTGACTACAGTGCGGAAATATCTTTACTTGGAGTGTTGGCTATCGCTCCGGGGATCCCTGGCATTTTCGTGGGAATGGCTTCAATACTGGAATTTGGGTGGCTTCAAGGGGGTCATGGTTAGTGTTTAAAGTTTACAGGTGTTTAAGTTGAGATGGGTTGAGGGTTCAAGGGTGACTTCGAGGTTCAACGGGATCTTCGTGGCAGGCTGTCCTGCGGTTTGAATCATCACATGTCCGTTAGCGGCTGAACCCACGAAGTGACCAAACCTTTGTTCGTTGTCCACCCGAGGCCCTAGATTCCCTAGATGAAAGCTTAATCCTGAACTCCAAATGCAGGAAGGAGGATTCCATGGTGAACCTGGAAGAGGCGACTACCCGAGCCTATCCCCTTTGGCTTCGCATCTCTTCTGATCACCAGCCCTGCTCGTGGCTTACCTCAGGCTTACCTCAGGCTTACGTTCTGCGGCACTTGCCTGTGCAGTGGGAGTGCATGGTGGTATGCAGCTCCTTCCAGCACATGGAATGCATGTTAGCTGGCATGGGCTCGAGCGTCCGGCCGATGGACGCCATCAAGTAATTTGTGCTGTGACTGTTGGTGTCCTTTGCAGGGTCGAGAGTTTAAGGTTTGAAGAATGGTTTCGCTTAGAGTTTAAGGAGCTGTAACGGGTTTTCAGAGTCTGGGGTGTTATGAGTTCAAAGTGTCATCGGTCCTCGCAAACAGGTGGTGGAGATCAAGCTGGGGCAGCAGACGCCAGTGTTCCTGCATTACCGCCCCCCTGGCATGGATTCTCCGAATTCGTCGGGCTCCCGAACCCCAAAATTACCTCTCAGATGTCGGAGCTTTGATGCTGTTGGGTTTGCGGTTCAGGGCTTCGGAGCATGCTTGTTTTTGCAGGCCTGCCCATGCTCGAGCACTTGTCCTTCTCCATTGTCTACGGCCCCAAGGGCTCAGCTCCGACCTGAGATGCGGGGTGCAGAATGTGCAGAATGTGCAGAATGTGGATGTAAGTCTGGCAGGGAAGGTTTTGTGCTTTAACAAAGGCCCTCAGAACCTGAATTCTCCAACCCGAGCATGAGCCCCTAGACCCCCAAGCCTCCTGCTCGCTAAGAAGACGCTGGACTTGACCTGCAAAGATGAGTTCGAGTTCGATCATTGGGTGACCGGTCTGAAAGCCATCTTCTATGCCTGCAAGGCCCAGTTCGAGCTGTGAATTCGGATTCTAGGCCTTTCGGGGATGATTTTAAAAGGATTTTTCAGGGTTTAGGTTTTGGGGCGCGGGGGCTGATTTGTTTTAGGGGATAAGGCGCGTGAGGACCAACTGGTATGAACATGCCGGAGGTTGAGGGGCCAAGCTTAGAACCAAAGGCCTTTCCCCGAGGCTCTGAAGCCACTACTCAATAAAGGGTCCCCTCAGAGATGACCGACGCGCTGCCAACGCAACATGTCTATCGCAGAGTCGGTGTAACCGCCTAACCTTAGCCCATACATCCTGTCAGCCTTGCTTCGTACAACCTCCTGAACAGCTTGATTTGCAACCTACACTCTGCCAGACCCTTAGACACTCCTAGCAGGCCTAGGCCCGAAGCAAACAAGCCCCTGTCGCTCCGCGCCAGAACAAGCAGATCTCCAAAGAAGCGCTCTTGGCTCACTCCAAGCGCTTTCAGAAGGCATGCGCACTGCGAGGGCAAATGAGGGCAACCTGCAGCCACCCTTGGTCTGCCGAATGTGGTCGGGTTTAGCGCAAAGATGAGAGGGTGCAAATTCCTGATCAGTTTCTCCCTCTTCTTCTCCCTACATCCAGCTGGAGGCTGTCCAACGGTTCAACGGTGGGTTTGGAGTTTCATTCTGCTTTTGCTCCCTGTGCCAAACTCTCAGATCGAGGCATCTTGAGGCCATCGAAGATATCCTCGACTCTAAGCCCGGTCCAAACTCAAGTCGCCTGATTTGTCCCTGCGTCCCGCAATGAGCAGGCACTGGAGAAGAACAACGTGGGGTGCGAGCCTAAGCAGCTTCAGCAGCCTCAGCAGGTCCTGGCTTGGAAGCATGCGGACTTGGATCGGGCACCCCAAGCCCCTAAACTCTAACCCCCCCAATTCGATTTCAAGTTTCGATCCTAAGTCCTAAGCCGAATGCCTCCGTGACTTCAAGTACTTGAAGCCTCTTTGGACCTAAGCAGCTGGAAAGCTCCATCTGATGAAGCTCAAAACTCCTCTGAAGGATCAAGTTGACAAAGTTGCCAGAAGTCAAGGAGAAGGCGCAACTGTAGAGCCTGAGAGTTTGAGCGCTTTGAGTTCAGGATTTCGGGTTTGAGCGGACGCGCTCGGGGTGCATGGTAAGCGACTGGGCTTGGAGGGTTGCAGGTGTTGGGGCTGATGCCTACTCTGTGCAACAGGGGTTAACATCCTCTTCGAGTCTTGCCATGTGCCTTACGCCTCCTTGGAAGCTTCGGCGTGTCGATGCCGGGGAAATGTCGTGTCGAGGTTTGGGTTACAGTCGGTTACAGGTTACAATCTCAACCCTGGATCCACAGCATTATCCCCAAGTCCTACACCCCAGACCCAAGAGGGCCACGTGGGGCTCGATGACTGCATCGAGATCGTGACCCACACTCCGTGCGGCACCGATTCCGGAAGCTGAGCCTTTGGCTCTGTCTTCCAAGTCTGAAGTCTGGAAAGAATTAGGGGGTTTGGGGGGTTTAGGTCGTTTGATTACGGTGGGTTTGGGGCATTGAGGGGGTTCAAGGTTTAGGGCTCGATGCCGACAGCTCTTGAAGTCTTGGCTGACCACCCGAATGCATGTACTGCTTGCCGGGAGCACGGCCCCCTGCCACACTAGAATCTCATGTAGCCAGAGGCCCGCGCGGCGCACAGCCATGCCTGTAGGTACCCGCAAATACATTCAACAAGTTCCAAGAGTTTCTAAGCACGCTCGGATCCTCCATTGGCTTAGGGCTTAGGGTCTCCCGAGGCAGCAGCTGGACACGAAGATGGAGAGGCTGAGGGAGCGGCTGAAGACCATGAGCCAGCAGGCCAGGCTTCCCCGCAATCCCGGAACACCAGTTCAACAAGACTTCAACTGCGCAAGAAACGGAGGTCTCCCGCCTGGATCACCACTCCGCGGCCGAAATGGAGGTCGTGGAGCTTTGCAAGAGGGCCCCACCCATCGAACATCCTTGTGCCAGTTTCCTCTAAGTCCTGCGCCTTGAGATCTCAACCTCAAGACCTGAAATCATACTGCAAACCTTCTACGTGAACATTCCGAAGCTCCAGTGACCCTTTCTTGGATCCTGCATCTCTGTGCCTGGAGGTCGACCTGTCACTTCTGACAGGCCCGCCTCCTTCAGAGCAATTTGGGTTTGGCATGTTTGGCTCAGCGGAGGAGGGCTTAAGGATCTGGGCTTTTGGGTCTGGGGCATCGTGATTTGCTGCGCGATACGTAGAATCTAGAAAGTTGAAAGCACCATGCCTTGACAGGCTCAAGGAGACAGCTAGTAGTTCACGATCCGTCAAAACGTGGATCGGAGATGCTGCAAGTGCTGATGATGACATCGGGGCGTCAGATCTCGGCCCTCCGGAAAGAGGACTTCAAAGATCTTGCGGCAGCACATGGTGAGCATTCTGTCCGATGCTTGAAAGAACATCTTGCTCAAGTGACTGGCCAGCCCAGGTTCAAGCAGCGCATTCTGCATGCTGGAGCGATTTTGCTGGACGATGCCCGCCTTGAGCTGCCGGTCGTGTTGCACCTCGTGTTCGTGCCATTTTGTGCTGACGCCCGATATCTTGAGCTTTTCAATATCGCAATCTCGTTGGATTTCGACAAGGTAGTTGAGGCCGTGTTGCAGCACCCTCAAGATCCTAATGCAATCTTGGACGGCGGCAGAACTTGCTTGGGGGTGGCCGCTAGCCATGGCAGTTTGAAGTCGGCAACGTTACTGCTGGAGGCAAGGGCTGACCTTGAGAAACCTGGCAGGACTTTGAAACGGGTGCCGTTGAACCATGCGTGCCTCCATGGCCAGACGGACTTTGTGCGCTGGTTGCTAGAGTCCCATGCCGACCCAGACAAATCCGTATTAGAATCTCCATCCCCACTGGAGGATGCGAGCATCATGGGGTGCGCTGAAATTGTGCGTATTCTTCTGGAGGCCCATGCCGATGTCAATGCACCTTCGATAAGTGGCACACCCCTGCACATTGCATGTGCGCAGGGTGAAGTGGAAGTTGCCCGCTTGTTGCTGCATGGCCGAGCCGATGTCACTATGGGGGACCGCATGGGCTTGACGGCGTTGCATGTGACCTGCGTGCGAAGTCAACTTGAAGCTGCACGCTTGTTGTTGCAACATCGGGCTGAGGCAGAGCAGGCTTGCCACCTTGGGTACACAGCCCTGCATTGAGCCAGCGCGTTTAAGCAGCATGAAGCTGTGGTCTGGCTGATTAGCATGGGGGCTGATGTTGAGGCCACTACACAGCACGGCGAAACGCCTCTGCATTTGGCTTGCAGAGCAGGTCAAACAGAGACCGTGCTCCACTTGGTCCAGCAGGGGGCAAAGGCAAACTGCACTGACAGTTTTGGCTCGGCACCTGTGCATGTGGCCTGTTCCTATGGCCACGCAGAGATTGCACGAGTGTTGCTTCGAAGCAATGCAGACATCCGCGTTGGGGGACGGCTCGATTCAATACTGGATGCTGCACGTGCGAAGGGATTCCATGACATCGTGGCCTTGCTCACGGAGGCAAGCAGTGACAGTAGACACTGCAAGCGGAGACGGCGAGCGAAAGGTCCTCCATAGTCGAAGCTTTGTTGGCTCCGTCAAGGGTCCGCCATGGCTGCAAACACAGCAGCACATGCGAATGTTTGTACGTGAGAATATGATTGTCGTGCTGGGCGCACATTTTAGTAGTGCTTAATTTGCAGGCACGTATCAGAGCTGCTTGCTCTTCAAGAACTGATGCAGGGATTTTGGCATCTCAGGAAAAGGTGCTTAGGGTCTTGTAAGAGCGATGGAAGGCAAATGAAGGGGCTCGCGCAGGTTTTGGGGTTTCGAGGGCGATTTGGGCGCTAGTTGTGAGCGGGTTGTAAAGCTCCTTCCAAGCAGGATTCGCCTGAACTCTGAACCTTAAAGGTTTGGTTTGCAAGTCGGGTGCGTCTCCCCCCCTTTAAAGGCAGGTGGACCATGCTTTGGTGAGTGTATAGGGCAGCCAGCCTGTATAGATGCGCATAGACTGGCATAGGCACTCAAACCTGCCGAACGCGAGGCCAGGGCCCCGCGTATGCAAGCGTTTTCGTCCAGGACGAAGATGCCCAGGACTGTTGTGACGACGGCAGTGGCGCCTTTCTTTGCTTTGCCCTGCTTTGTTTGCCCGTGACTCGTGCAGTGGCTTGTCGAAGGACGAGGAGATGGAGATCAGGCGGATGCACGAGTTAGTGGAGCAGACGACGCAGGTGCTGCAGCAGGCCCGTTTAGGGCCTGTTGCTTGTTTGAGCTGCGGCTCTGAGAAACTTTGTTTGTTTGTGGGGTCCTCTTTTGCCCTTTGCTGCGTGTATCTTTGTTGGGATAGAACACGGAACGCAAACCTACAACTCTCAAACCTCCAAAACACCGAAAGCGTCATCCGAGTCCAAAGGCGCGCAACGAGCTCATCGCACTAAACCAGCGGCAGAGGTCGGAGAGCTCAACGAGCAATACCGAGGTGCCGGCCACGGGGTGGTAGGACGTTTCAGAGACTCTGTCGGTTTAGTGAGGACTTTTTTTGGATTATTAGTCTTGTCTTTTTGTGCGTGTGCGTATGCGTGTGCGTGTGCGTGTGCGCGTGCGCGTGTGCGTGTGCGCGCGTAGGCGTATGCGTGCGTGCGTGCGTGCGTGGGTGGGTGGGTGGGTGGGTGGGTGTGGTGTGTGTGTGTGTGTGTGTGTGTGTGTGTGTGTGTGTGTGTGTGTGTGTGTGTGTGTGTGTGTGTGTGTGTGTGTGTGTGTGTGTGTGTGTGTGTGTGTGTGTGTGTGTAACCTGCTGTACATGCAGGATTGGGGTCACGCCCGTTTTTCGATTTCATGCAGGGGGTCCCAGATCTGCCACTCATGCTGGGACCAACGAAGACCATGAGTAGCAGACGTGCAAACGTACCTGATATGAGGAGTACCTGGGTGGTTGCGTCCGCAGCTGGTATCCTCAACGGGGACAGAAACCTCATCCCCGCAACGTGTTACATGTTGTCGTCAGCATTGCACTTCGCAGACGACAACATATGCCATTCCTGGTGTCTGGCACCACGACGACACAAGGGACAGAACCCGCATCCCAACGATCATTCCTGTGGTCTGATCTGGGGCCTGAAACCTAGCCCAAACAATGACGACGATAGTCACTGACTATGCTTGATGTTGTCCAGTCGAATGTCCGTCTCATCAGTTCCAGACAAGTCAACGTGTGTATGGTTCTGGCGTGTTGTCCCGTCACGGGGCCAGATCCCAGAAGACCCGGGCATCCGGGATTGACTGAGCTCTGCTGACTGAGATACTCATTCATCGGGATCATCTGCAGTAGGCTTTGTGGCATGAGTGAGTGCGAGCACAGACATGTCATCGGGATCATCCAACTTGCAGACGCAGGGGTACCCGGACGGCACCGCTTTGTGGTTTTGGTAATGCGCCGCCAGCTGTGAACAGGTAGCTTGACTCAGGCTGCATCAGGCACAGACACATGTCCTCCCAGCTAATGTTGGTAAAGTGGTGTTGTCCTCCTTGTTGTTGTTGGTGAACTTCCTTTGCACCTCCTGTCGTCGTTGTTCATGTGCATGAGTTAGCGTGTCTCTTCTGCTAGTGTTGGTAAAGTGTTGCTGAACTCCCTGTGGTTGTGGTGATGATCTACCTCGCCCGTTCTCCGCTTCAAGACGTCTGACCTGTCTTTGTCCCGTCCGCCCTTTGGGGGCATGCGTGTGGTGTGTGTGTGTGTGTAACCTGCTGTACATGCAGGATTGGGGTCACGCCCGTTTTTCGATTTCATGCAGGGGGTCCCAGATCTGCCACTCATGCTGGGGCCACCGAAGACCATGAGTAGCAGACGTGCAAACGTACCTGATGTGAGGAGTACCTGGGTGGTTGCGTCCGCAGCTGGTATCCTCAACGGGGACAGAAACCTCATCCCCGCAACGTGTTGCATGTTGTCGTCAGCATTGATTGCACTTCGCAGACGACGACATATGCCATTCCTGGTGTCTGGCACGACGACGACACAAGGGACAGAACCCGCATCCCAACGATCATTCCTGTGGTCTGATCTGGGGCCTGAAACCTAGCCCAAACAATGACGACGATAGCCACTGACTATGCTTGATGTTGTCCAGTCGAATGTCCGTCTCATCAGTTCCAGACAAGTCAACGTGTGTGTGTGTGTGTGCGCGCGTGTGTGCGCGTGAGTGCGTGTGTGCGTGTGTGCGTGTGTGCGTGTGTGCGTGCGTGTGTGCGTGCGTGCGTGCGTGTGTGCGTGTGCGTGCGTGTGCGCGTGTGTGCGTGTGCGTGCGTGTGCGTGCGTGTGTGCGTGTGTGCTCGTGTGCGCGTGTGCGAGTGTGCGTGTGTGCGCTTGTGCGTGTGTGCGCGTGTGCGCATGTGCGTGTGAGGGGGGGGAAGGGGTGGGGGGGGGGGGTGCTTCGGGTTCGAACCCGAAGCCCCCAGCAGCAAATGCCAATGTTCTTGCATGTGTGGTCGAGCCTCGCTGCACATCGGCCAGGCAAAGGCCAAGAAGAAGGAGACGGCTGCTTGTAAGGCGTTGCAACGCTCTTGAGCATGGATCAAGTAAGTTGGGGTTTAAAGACGCTGTCAAACCCTTGAGCCGTCCTCCAGACTCCAACTCGATATATGAATGAGCCGACTTAAGCCTTCTCTGGATTTCTGCTGGCTTTGAGCCAAGGTCTGCATATTCGGCTGAAGGTCCAGAGTTTAGGGTTTCGGGAGTTTAGGGTCTAGAGAAATGTCTGGGGATGAGGGCCTAGATGGGCCTAGGGTTTGCGCTGCGGATGTACTCAGGGAGCTGGTCCGGTTACCGGTTGTGGTGCCTCAGCCCCGCCAGCACATCGACCAGCTCCTGTGGAAAGCAGAAGTTGACTTGGAGAACGTGGAGGACATGTACCTCAGGCTGAGCAGGGGACTGTAAGGGACTATATAGAGTCTTGAGAACAGCAAGTATCAGCACATTGTTTGTGATGCTTGAGCCAGCAGGCACATCGACAATCAGAAGGACACGTACTCGCTGGGTGGGGCTGGCCGATTGCTGATCCGTTGACGGGAATCTTGTCGCTCCGATTCCTCAAGCCCCCCAACGTCCTATCGCAAGCCTCAAGCCCAATTGCCGGGCTGCAGCGGACCAAGGTGCAAGATGTTGGCTTCTTGGGCTGGGCACTCTTGTTGCTTAGATTGCCCAAGATCCGGAGCCCTATGCCGAACGCCGAACCTAGCTTAGCCAAAATCCCCGGATCTGGATGTGATTCGTGGGTATCGCGGCCCCTCTCCTGCCAGCTGACTTCAACCAGACGGTCTCCCGCACGATCTCCGACCTCGAGGACGACCTCAAACCCTAAGTTCCCCCAAGCCCTCCAGATCCTCCAGTGGTTCAACTGCCTTCAATTTTGGGTGCATCCCGACACCCTAAGCCCATTTTCGGTGGCAGGAGAGCTTGAATACCCAGCTCGACTCGATCAAGTCCTACTTATTCAGGCGCACTTCACAGTACTTCACAGGGGCGCGCGGTACCTGGTCAAAAAGGTTGCCTCATCTTGTAGCAGCCGTTCGGCATCGTTCTGCACACAGATTTTGACGCTGATGCAGATAAGTCATCTCGTAGGCCTACGACGGAAGATGCTTCAAGTTTCTGCTCCGCAGCAGACTAGACGAAGTCGGGTACTAGCACGGTAAGAGTACATTGGCGTCTACGTAAAACCAAGGAAGCATTCCACACCAAACAATGCCCATGATTGTCGGGGTCGGAGCAGCTGTTACAACCTTGCTGGTCTTGAGAGCCCTTCGGCGACGTTTGTCCCCGGTTGTCACCTCCAAGTTGGCGTGCCGCTGCGGGAAGATTCAGGGCGAAATCTCGGCTATTCGCCAGGACTCCATCCGCATTCACTGCTACTGTGGCGATTGCCGGGAGTATGCAAAATTCATTGCATCCTTGGGGGAGCAAGGAGACACGACCATCGGAGAGTACGGAGACAGTCGGCTGGTACAGGTCTGCAAAAGCGCCCTGAAGATAACACAAGGACACGAACTCATCAAACTGGCAAGAAAGGCGGCCAAACCAGATGGCAAAGGACAGCTGATCATGCATCGGTACTATGCGAGTTGCTGCAGTGTGCCGCTCTACAACACCGTGGACTTCTTGGGCTTCGTGGGTGTCTTCACGGATTTCTTGGACGAGCATTGTATGGAGTATGCAGGCCCTATACGCATGTTTCCGGAGGAAGCCTTAGGTGCGCCACCCAACCCAGAAGCAGATGTGTCTTTTCCAGACCTCTTCTGGAAGCAGCTTCGTTATCTTTGGTGGCGTAAATGCGGCCCATTTGACTACACGCAGGAGCCTGTGTACTGGGCAAGCGCTTCCGACACGAAGAAGGACGATTGACATGGACAGTGCAAAGCACCCAGGTCAAATTGTTATGTCAGCTGCTGTTACATTTAATTATTGGAGACAGTGGTGGACTCGGCTCGGTTTTCGTTTTCCCTTACTTGCCGATCACTGTGTGTGTGTGTGTATGTGTGTGTGTGTGTGTGTGTGTGTGTGCGTGCGTGCGTGCGTGTGTCTTCTCTTACTTACAGATACTTGCAAGCGTCTGACTGGAAAAAGGTTTTGCCGGCGTAGGGCGCCCTCGGGAAACTTCACTGTTTCAAGACAGAAGCTCAAAGAATCTTCATCTTCTCACGGCTTCCCTCGACACGCGTATCGCGCTGGGCCGGCAACTTCAGATGTGCCGTGTGTTTTCAGGGAGGTTTGGGCTTCATGGGCAGGTGAGATTTCTATGCGGTGCCGAGGGGAGCAGAGACTGCCGGCGCCTCGGCATGATGCTGTCCACCAGGGCCCGGTGCATTCGGCGCAGTAAAGCCTCGCCTCGACAGACTGAGCTCCAGATCCACTGTCCCGTAGCTCTCAGGGCTTGAGTAGAGCCAGTGGCCTCAGTGTTCTGCATGAGATAACAGCGCCGTTTTCGGGTTGATTTCGAGCTTCCCGTGAGTACTCTTTGGTCCCATCCTCCCTGTGTGTACAGGTCTGAACAGGTGCAGTGCAGAAGAGCAGGAGCAGCTCAGTAAACCCAGTAAACGGTAGAATCATTAGAATCAGTAGAAGCTAGCTCGGCGCGAGGATCAGAATTGCCCTGCAGCAACGGCTAGCGCTTCACAGCTTCACAGCCCTTTCCTATGCTGCGATCCAGGCCCCACCTTCGGGGGTTTTTAGCAGCACCGACGCCCTGAATCGTGGGACGCCCAAAAGGGGCGCATGCGTTAGCTGCGTTAACGCATGAGAGAGGGAGCGACTCCTGAGCTGCACACTTAGAATACATGGCCTTACATGGCTACCATCGCAGATCGGCAAGTTCGCCATTTGACAGTACGACCTTCCAGGTCCCTGAAGCCCCTTACGGCCAATCTAGTTATCCCAGTCACAAATTCAAAGGCTTGATGCCCCGCACCGGCAGCGTGTTGCTGACCAGAACGGTGTCAGTTTCTCATGAAGGGGGCTTGCACCATGCCTGGCAAAATAACGGAAAAGGGTTGCAATGAAAGTTCAGGGAGCGAAAGACCATGGCATTGTGGTGACTTTATCGCTCAAACTTGTTTTCCTGATCTTGGGGTGTGGGCAGCTAGAACTAGGGTGAAGGCCCGAGATGTAGACTCTGGAAGCTACAGACCAAATGCCCTGCCAGGAGAAACTGCCAGCATGTGTTAGAACTGGCGACGAAGAGGATCAGCAGCGCGACCGCGACAGTAACAGAGTGCATCTGCTGGCGTAGTTGGAGATGACACCGAGTATCACCGAGTTCTCAAACCCTCCAAAGCACCAAAAGGCACTAGACGACACTATTTGGCTGTGGGGTGCGTAGGTTTTCGGGCCCTTGGATGCTAATCGCGTGATACTGAACGCAAGTCGGAGGCACCAAAACTCAAGATCCCACCCATGTGGCTCCCATTGCCCCATCCACCCGCGGCCGTTTGTTTCCGCTTCCGCGTTCTTCTGGGCTCCGGGAGCTTTACGGGGAGCGGTGCCGACCTCAGCTGGTCAGGACGAGGTTGAAGATGAAGGCTTTACCGCTGTAAATACTGGGTGGTGGAAGACTTGTCGTTCGTTTACCAAGGTGTTGTGTGTGTGTGTGTGTTTATAAACGTTTTGTTTTTAGTTTTGTGCTTGGAATGATGTTGTTCCCGAAAGCAAGGCGGAGGGTTTTACAGCGGAGGTGGTTGTCGTTAAAGAGTCGTCGCTATATGGATGACGTGATGGATGGCGTGATGGATGATGTCCGGATGGATAGCGTGATGGTTTTGGTGGGTTTTTCCTCTTAAAGTTAATATGTTTAAAGCACGGGGTAGGGTTGGCACTTGGCTAAAAAGTGCAAAAACGGTAACCTTTGTTTTTATTTGGCGTTGTCGAACGCCAAAATGATGACCCTCTGCGTGGTCTTGGCGTGTCGCGACCGCACGAACGACAACCCTCTGTGTGTTTTGGCGTTGTCGAAACGCAAAATCGAGGACCCTCTGCGTGGGCCCGGCGTGTCGTGATCGCATGAACGATGACCCTCAGAGTGTTTTGGCGTCGTCGAAACGCAAACACGATGACCCTCTGCGTGGGTGCGGCATGTCGTGATCGCATGAAGGATGATCTCTGCATGTTTTGGCGTTGTCGAAACGCAAAAACGAGGACCCTCTGCGTGTGTTCTTGGCGTGTCGTGTGCGTGTTTTGGTGTTGTCGAAACGCAAAAGCGATGACCCTCTGCGCGCTCTTGGCGTGTCGCGATCGCAGTCGAAACGCAAAACGATGACCCTCTGCGTGATTGCGGCGTGTCGCGATCGCATGAACGGCAACCCCTTTGCGTGTTTTCGCGTTGTCGAAACGCAAACACGATGACCCTCTGCGTGTGCGCGGGGCGTCGTGATCGCATGAACGACAACCCTCTGCATGTTGTCGCATTGTCGAAACGGAGAAACTGCGTGTTTTTGAAGTTTCTTCGTTATCGTTGATGCATGGATGGCTGTGGTGATTCATGTCGTGATGGATGGCGGGTGGTCTTCTTGAAGGTTCTTCGTTATCGTTGATGCATGGATGGATGTCGTGATGGATGGCGGGTGGTCTTCGTGAGGGGTGCACATTCCCGTAGCACTGCGAGAGCTATCGAGAGCTTAAGTCAACATCAGTATGTCCCCATGGGGTGAGAGCAGGAACGTGTGATTGCACAAGAAGGCTGCGAGTGAAAGGAGGGCAAGCGACGCATCAGCCGCAGAGTTTAGGGACTGATCAGTGGCCGTGGATTCAGTGCAAGGCGTTCCTTTGCGACTCTGTGGGATGACCAAGCAAGGTCTGATGGACCGTAGGAATCATTTCAACCCTCAGCAGGCTCCCTTCTTGGATCCCCTTTTCAAGCACGGCCCTCAAAACAGACGACTCAGGGCCTAGCAGCAAAAGGCGTCCTGCTTGGGGCATCATTTGTATCTTTCAAGCTGAAGAGTGAAGAGAGGTCGGTTTTAGGGATGTAGGGTGCAAGCTCACCCTAAGCATGTTTCCCCACATCCTCCCCCAGTCTCAGGCGGTGCAGCCCTGGCGCGCCCTGGCCAAAAAGAGATCTCGCGGGATCTGCTCTCGAAAGGGGTGAGTAATGATGCCGGGTGGCGGAGGCTCTTGGATAGGGTACGGCCCGATGCTGACCGAAGAAATGCAGAACCCTAGCAGCGCTTACACGTCACCGCTGCGTTTTCGCGTGAGTGCCAAAGGCAGCAGTTGCGGCAGCCGCGTCAAGCCATGTGGGGAGCTTGGTGGCCAAACCTTGGTATTCTGTGTGCCCGATCAAGACCAGAGGTTTTTAGAGCTCGGAGGTTAAAATCGCAAGATCGTTGACCCAGCTTTCGCGAGTTCAAGGGGCTCTGGGCTCATTTGCCTTTTTGTGGCCTGAAACAAAGAGGGTTCAGCAATCTCAGCAATTCCCGTGAACAGGTGGGGTGTGCTTTAAGCGGTTGAGCGTTCGGCTTCTGCTTGGGGTGCCCGAACCCCTAAACCAATAAAACCAATAAACCAATAGAAAACCAATAGAGAAAACCAAGAGAAAACCAACAGAAAGCCATGAGAAAATCAGTATAAACCAATAGAAAACCAATATAAACCAATGGAAAACCAATTTGTTTTTATTGGTGTTCTGCTGGTTTTTATTGGGCTTCTATCGGTTTGTATTGGTTTTCTATTGGTTTTTATTGGTGTTTATTAGTTTTCTATTGGTTCTTATTGGGTTTCTATCGGTTTGTATTTGTTTTTTATTGGTTTTCATTGGTTCCCTATTGGTCTTTATTGGTTTTTATTGGTTTTCTATCGGTTTTTACTAAACCTTGCTGCTAGGTCCTGCTAGCCTTACATGTACCTCTTCCGAGGACTTTAAATGTGAGCTTCAAACTCTCCGGGTCCGGTGGGACCACGCGCAGCACCTAGACAGTGACCGCTTCCTTTGAAAGTTTGCGGTTGGGTGTTGATTTGCACCAAGCCCTGAAGTCTTGGAGCTCTGTATCTTGAGTGCGAAGGCCACAGGAAGGCCACAGGGCTTGCACTTGTTCTGGACCCAAGACTCGAGATGGCTTGGGAGTCACAGGAGTGTTTCGGATGTAGGACTTCATCGTTTAGGGGTTTAGGGTTCAGTTCAAAGACATTCGAGGCATTGGATTTCTGGGTGTCTGGCACGAGAAGGCTAAGCGGCTAAGCGGTTAAACCCTCAGCACCTTCTGGCTTCTTCAGGTCATTTTCAGGCCTTCAGTGATTCAGCCCCCAAAAACCCTAAAGCCCTTCTTGTCAGCCGAGTCCTTGCCAGAGGTTCTCGTTGGACTTAGAGCCTTCGATGACGGTCAAGGACACAAGCGGGTTCTCAGGTTAGGGCTTCAGGGTCGAGGGCTTCCGGGCCCCTGTGAGGAGTTGAGGACCTTTAGGATTCGCTGGACAGGAGGTCAAGGAGAAGGCCAAGGCTGAGCCCGGGACTCAGCACCAAGCCGTGAACCCTACAACTTGGATTTGTTTTTGAAATCTGTCTGCTTTATTCGGGCACTCAGTGGTTCCCCCTCACACGCCCCGAGGCCTTGCCCGAACTGGGCTTCCCAAGTCGTCAGCCCAAGAAAAAGCACAAAGCCCAAGGCCCCACGGCAGCCCAGGTGTGGGATTGAGCCCGATTCCATGAAGCTCATCTTTAAAGGGCCGCGGGCCAAGGTTTCTGTTGAGATTTTGAGGTTTAGAGCGCTTAGTGGGTGCGTGTTTCTCTAAAACATTCTGGGCCTTCTTTGCCCAAACCAGACCTGTAAGGGACTTGGGGGGATGGTTGGAGAGATCGAGGCTTTACAAGTGTTCGAGGGTCAAAAACAGCCCTGAAACCCCTGTCCGTGCAAGCCGGGCAGTTGAGTCTGCGGCCGTGCTCGGGCATACTCAGCAACGCCTTAAACTGAAGGCGTATCTTGAAGGACGCGGACACGCTGGAGTCGCAGAAGGCATTGCTCACCATGGCCTTGTGTATAGGTTTATTTGGATTCAGCGCCTAGGGCTTCAGATGTTTGTGTAGGTTTAGGGCGGACTTTGGGTGGGAAATGTGGGGTCAGGTATATTTGCTGGGTCATGAGTCATGGAGTCGATTTCGGGCACGATTTCGGACTCACAGGATGTGAAAAAGCATTTTACAAGCAATAGTGACGCGCGTAATGTGTAGTGATGAGTAAAAAGCAGTGGAGGATGGGCTTGCCTTTTCTTCTGAGGGAGATGGGAAGCCCAAATTTGGGGGCATCGCAGTGTCTGACCACATTGAGGTCGAAAGCGGTAACACCATGCACGTGGTCAAATCCCAACCCAGCGCCGGTGCTGCGGCCACCACGCCGCGCACTGAGCATTTTTGGGGTTTGACAGGCTTCAGGGTTTAGGCGGCTTAGGTGATTGTGAGCTTTTAGGCATTGTAGGGACTCTTCATATTTGGGTTGAAAATGGTTCTTGAAGCCCCGAAGCCCCGAAAGGCTTGTTTTACAGTGAGCAAGCTCCGAAAATGTCCAATCTAGAGGAAGTGAAGCTTGGCAGCGTGACGAGGGCATTCGGACGTAAAAAGGTGTGCCTCATTGCACTGCTGGGGTCTTGGAGCTCTGTGCACCCGTTATAAGTAGGGCGCAGGGGTTTCAGAGCCCGCCCACCTGTCTAAACCCCTACCTGCCCCCAGCCCCAACCCCTTAGTCACTGCTTGAGTTAGTACTGACCTTGCAGGCAAGCCTTCAAAACTGGAACATCGGATCACCCAAGATTTCTTACGACACTGTGTGCGCAGCACAAAGACCCATGGAAAGGCCGGCTCCCACCGCGACCCCTGCGGCTGCGCCAGCAGCGACGCCAGTGGCCACCCCTGTCTGGGCCCCAAGCGGTCAAGAGATCTGGTGGTCCCGTCGTCCAAGACTCCGACCACTCCGACCACCACTTTGACCACTCTGACCACTCCCTAAACCCTTCTATAAAACACAGACAACCCGAAGTCCTCAAATCGCACCGAAGCACGAAGCACCGCAGGCGGCAACGCCTGGAGCTGCGCCTGACCCGCTTGCAGCCATGGCTGGCTGCGGAGCTGCACTGGTGGCCTGTTGTGAGGCTTGTTTTGGGGGCATCCACATGAAAGATGTGGAAGATGTGAAGCTTGGCAATCCCCCAAACCAAGGGCAGTTGAGGCAGCTGAGGGTCCCTATTGGACGGTGAGCTACGGCAAGCTGTTGACTGCTGTGGGATAGCTGCGGGGCTGTGGAAACATGTGAAGTGAAGATTTAGTTGACCACTTGGATAGAAGCACGTTGCGTCTGCAATATGTATGCAGTTGAAGGATGCGACTACCTGCCGACCTTGCTCCCTTGAATTAGGTCCCTTAGGTTGCGTCACTTCACGGACCGGAAGCCTTTCAAGCACCCGCCGAGGCTTGGGGGCGCCGGGGGCCGCCAAGCTGCAGTGGTTTGGTGCTTTGATGTAGAGATTTCGGGGTAGATGCATGACACCTCCAACCCACGGAGCGTGTTCAAGGCTGGCGGCGCGGCCAACCCCATGGCTGGACTGATGAGCGATCCTGCAATGATGCAGGTCACTGCTTTAGGGTCAGGGATGTTCAGGATTTCGAGTTCTTCAGCGCTTGACTTTGGGGTGCAAGTGGGGCCACAGGACCTTCGCAACCCCAAAGGGGCCCTCAACCCGGGGAGGCGCTCATGGGCGGCATGGGTGGCATGGGCGGCATGGGAGGCGCCGAACCTGCAGGGTGCCATCAGGGCTTCAGCAGTATAAGGGTCCGGCTGTGAGGCCTAGGCTTGAGCTTTGACTTTAGGTGGTATCACGGCTGGGTGTTCAGTTTCTTCTTTGGGTCGGGGCCTTTCAGATTTGCTGCTTTCATAATGGCAAAAAGGAGTGCTTGGAGCGAAAGCAGGCAGTGCATGTGGTTGTACTTTTTTGCAAGCATCGTTACATGCTTGGTGAGCAATTGAAGTCGAATTCTCAGTGCTTGCGGAGAAGCCCGACTCGCACAAACAAAGATGCCCGAACAACAACACAAAGAGCAAAGCGCCCGAACTCCTGCTGGCCAGGCCCCGGCTACGGGGCCGGGGCGCCAGGCGCCACCCCGGGCGCCACCCCGGGCGCCACCCCGGGTGCGAGCCCCAGCACGTGGGGGGTGTTGGAAGTCTCGTGGTTATCCTGATTGGTTAAGGGTTGCTGTTTCTCGGGAACGCCATCAAAATGTAGCCTTCCCAGAACATTGAAAGCCCCCCAACTTGACCCACAACCCGAAATCTTGAACCGAATGCTCGAAACGAAAGCAGCAGGCATGCCGGGCCTTGGCGGCATGGGCGGCATGGGCGGCATGGGAGGTATGGACCCAAACATGGCCGGGTGGCCAAAGGGGTTTCTGCGCAGTTTGCGGAGGTTGTAAAGGATTGCAGGGAGCGCAAGGAGCGGTGTTGGAAGTGTTGGGAACGCGCCGGGCCATACCTGAAGTTTGACGTCTTGTTGGGCTCATGATCTGCTTGGGTTGACGTTTTGTTCCCATTCTGTGACCCTCTCAGGTCGCAGGCATGCTGCAGAACCCTATGGTCCAGCAGATGATGACGAACCTGGTAGCTATTCCCAACACTCTTTAAGAGCTCGGAGGTTTGGGATTGAGTTTAAGAGAGTTCTCTGGGTCTTCGAAACGGTTTTTGTGGATTCTTCGTGGCAAGTTTTGGGCTTTGTTGCTCGAACGCGCAGCTTGGGGTGGAGGGGCCTTAAGGCCACAGCAAAAGCTGAATCAGCGCCACCGAAGCCCTCGCGTCCCAAAGCCGCTTCGAGTAGAGGGTGCCACCAAGCCTACGACGCCGTACACGGCTGGTCCCTGGGCCGCTGTCCGAGCCCCCCAACCCCCAGTTCTAAAGCCTCTGACCTTGTTAAGTGGCTTCAAGAAGAAAGAAGGGTTAGAGGGATGTAGAATGGAATTGAGGTAGAAAGGATTCGACTCTGGACATCCTCAGTAAACGAGTGTTTCAGGGTTTTCAGCCGGCCATTCTGTGCAGGAAGCCCCAAGTCCGAGGGAAGTCGGTTGGGCGATGCGAATCCCAGTTTTTCATAGCTACGCTCCAAAGCAGCGCCCCGGACTCTAGGCCTAAAGCCTTTAACCCGATCCTGAACGCGAGCGATGTTGGCGCAAGGCAAATAATCCGCAGATGATGCAGCAGATGGTTCAGAACAATCCGATGCTGCAGGTGCTTGTTTCCCGAAGCCCGAACCCACAAAGCCCTAGGCCTATGCCCCTAAACTTTTCATCCCTTTCAACTACTGATCCCCCAGCCCACGGAAACCTTCACAGCTTTTGTTTGCCCTGGCACCCTGGAGCAGGTGACCAGAAATCCTTAGACCGTAAACCCTGATGTCCAAACGAGCCCCGCATCCGGCTGAGCTTCCTGAACCAATAGCCCCTCACCTCAAGCGAAAGACCGTTCTGCCCCCTGTGCAGCAACTGATGCAGCGAGATCCGATGATGGCACAGGCCGGGTGTAGGGGTTAGGGTCTAGCATGCATTAGGTGCAGCTTTCATGTAAGGGTCGAGGCTCAAAGGATCTGTTGGATGGTTTCCCTTTGGCGCTTAGAAGCTGGAGCTTGGCGTGAACATTTCCTCAGCCTTGCCAATGTTTCCACGGTGCGGAACAGACACCAAAGCTGCGTAGCACAAAGGGCTGAAGGGCTCTTGTTGCGACAAACTGCAGGCAGTACATGTTGCCGACTTTCTGCGGGCACGTGAGCGGTTTGGAATCGGGAGTACCAGTCCTGAGTGACCGCAGGCTCCTCATGTCTGCATCCTCATGGTTCAAGACAAAAGCCCGACGACTTAACCCATAGGTGCCCCCCCCCCCCCACTCCCCAAAGCATTGACCGCTGTTGCAGATGATGAGCAATCCAGAGGCCAGCCTGCTACAGTACCATGAGTCAGTGAGTCTTGTCGCCTCCTGGTTGTTGGTATTGCTTTTTTTCGCTGTTGCCTCTTGTCCAGGCCTTTGATTTTGGTGGTGGTCGGTAGGACAGGTTTCGCTTGCCGGAATCAAACAAAACCCAAAGCCCCAAGTATTCAAAATTCACGATCTGCCTCCTGCTTTCAATTTTGTTCTGCCAGTCTGCTCTTCTGCTTGGTGCAAGTGAACCGCTAAACCCCAGGGTTGTGATTAATGGCGAGTTGTGAGTTGTACATGCCAATGTGTTCTGAACCCGACCTCCACTTGCCACCGGCAAAGCGCCTTGCAAGCGGAGCTTCTTCTATGGCGTGCCTGAATTCTTGGGACACAGAAGGTTGGGATGTTGGGCGATGGAAGCTGTGACATTCTGCCGAGATAGATTTCAAGCACGCAGGTATGTAAGCTTGCTTTGCAACTGTGATTTTGCAGAACCCGAACCCTAAACTAAAGACCCTGTCTCCCAAACCCCCGAAAGCCCTGTAACTTTCCTAGACCCAAATTGTTCAGAAGTGTTGCAGAAGAGGTTGCTCAAGAGTCAAGGAAATCTCGAACACCTGCAGAACCCGCAGCAAAGGAAAGGCAAGACCAAAACCACAGAGACATAGGTAAAGAATGAGAACTATTTTGGAAGACCGCATGACAGGTGACGGTCCTCAAAGCGCGACAAATTAAGAATGAAGAACTGACCAGGGAAAACCAACCAGTGTTTTTGGTTTAAGGCGTGGTTCGAAGATGATCTTGAACTCATGTTCAGGGCTGGGGCATTTCAGTCAAGACTCGAGCGGCCAGCGGTAGTGAGGGAAGTGTGGAATGTGTAGTATGATGGCTCGAGGCTACTGGAGGCAGGTGGCACATAGACACTGCTGAATTAGTCCGAAGCTTTTAAAGCCTAAACTTAAGCTCTAAAGGGGCCACCCACTGATGCTTGTATATGCCTGTGCAGTTCATGCGGACCATGATGAATCCGCAAATGCTGCAGGCAGGGCCAAGCCTTCAAGTTTGCTCCTTCGGATCAAAAAGAGTGTGTTTCCTCTTGAGCTAGCCCTCCCCCTAAGTCACTGAGTCACTGACCGTTCGAAGCGCTTGCTTCCGTTACCCTTCTCGACAACACACGGGGCACCAGTCCGGCTATCAACTCCGCACAAAAGCATCTGCAGAAGTTGGCCCACAGGGTATTACCCCGTGAGTTTTCAGGCACTGGTCTGGGGTGCGGAAAGTGATTATCGGCACGTCGACTGACTTCTATGATTTTAGAGCCTAGGCTTTTTTTGGTCTGTGAGGCTTACGTGCCTAGATCCTGACCCTTGAACATCGAAGCACATGAAGCTCTAAAGCCGAAACGCCGCCCTAACCCCTAAGCTGTCCTTTAAAACCCGAAAACCAAGCTGTAGTGTGGCAGGGCATCCTCCAGATGCAGCAGGCCATGGCTGGAATGCAAGGCCTGGGAACCCGTTGCAAGGGTTTTTGTTGGTTTTTGGGCGCTTATGCTACTGCATGCCATAATGCCATGCTACTAATGCATGCTACGAATGTATGCTAAGCCTCAACCCTCGACCTGTCACCCTGAGAGTCAATGCCTGCGCGGAATGGCCCGAAACGCTAACCCTAAATCCGACACTCCAAATCTAAAGCCCTGAAACTTAGAACGAGCTTCAAAACTCCAACCCCAACATCCTTAGTCCCCACTCTCTCACCCTAAGGCCCCTTGACCCAAAACCGCAAACTAAACTCCAAGCCCTCCAGCCCGAGAAACTCAATCTCCCCCACAGTCCGCCCTTGTTTAAGAGTATGTACAGTGTAAGAAAGAAACCCCCTCAACAGAAGGCGCCCGAAAACGCAAAGCGCAAAACGCAAAGCGCAAAACGCAAAGCGCAACACCCAAAAAGAGGTGGCGCGGGTGCTCCAGCTCTGGGAGCGCCGGCGCCAACGCCAGGCTTGGCCCCGTCTTTCAGGGCTTCAGAGCTTCGAGAACCCGGATTCTTGCGGGCCTGAGTCTTGAGATGCAAACAGAAAGCACACGCAGCGGAGAGGTTTCTTGTTGTGTCATGGCTCATGATGCGCACCTGTGCGCGCAGACGTGAGCACGCGCCGGTGCGTGTGTGCATGCAGATGGCTATAAACATCCTGAGCCCTGAGCTCTAAAAACCCTAAAGCCCCGAAACACCCTGATCGCCCATCGGCAGCGAGGCGCCACGCCAGGCGCTCCCACGGCACCGACACCTGGAGCTGGGATTGAGCCTCAAAGATTTCAGGGGCCTTGGGCAAAAGCTTCGGATTCGAGTTCAGGTTGACGTGATTGGGTTGACCTTGCAACTATTTAGTCCCAGAGGCCCAAAGTGAGTCTGCAGCCGAGATCCTAAACCCTGGCCCGAGCCATCGTTGGCCCAAGGCTCGATCCATTGGCCATGCAAGCTGCCATGCAGGCTCGGCTGTAGGAGGCAAAGGTGCGCAGAGTTCTAAGGCTCAAAGAACCTTATGTTGATAGCAACTTGGATCTCACAGAGTGGTGTTGAAGACGTGTCAAGAGCAGTCCTTCGAACTTGCATGGCAAGCAGCACTTCTTCTTCTTCTTCTTCTTCTTCTTCTTCTTCTCGTCCTCGTCCTCGTCCTCCTCGTCGTCGTCGTCGTCCGCAGTACCAGCAGTAGCCCCAGACCCCTCAACCCTCAACCCCCTAGACCCCTAAACCTAAACATATGTGCAACGATCTGCAGAAAGCCAAAACGGAATTTTGGATGGACTACCAGTTCGGTCAGCCGCGGGGGCATGTTGCCAACCACACCCTAGCCCAAAGCCAGGCACAATCCGACAGAATCCGACATCCCGAAGTCTGTTTCCTTCCCCACCCCTCTGGCAGCACATGATGGCCAGGCCATCATGGGAGGTGGCGCAGGTGGCGGAGGCTCAGGGTGTTTTGGTGTTTGCTGGGGCACTGTGAAAGGACAAGTCTCCACAGAAAAAGTAGTATGTGTGTGTGTATATATATATATATATTTATGCACACATGTGCGCACTTCGTGCAAGTTCTCTGCTGGTTCACCGATTGACCATCTAGAACTCTTGTGTTCGGAGTGACAACTCGAGCAACTTCGGTTAATTCGACTTTGTACATGCTGCATCCGTGACCATTTTGGCGAAAGCTCCCGACTTTCTTTCGAAAGCGTGGCAGCTCCAGCCTTTTTCCCTCACCGTCCCCCTTGTTAGTGCAGTTGGGGCTGGTAGCAGAAGCTGCAACGGAGAACATCCATTGACACGCAGTTGGCCGTGCGGCACTACGACCAACAATCGGGCCCACAGTGCAAACGGTGTTTCCGAGAGCAATGCCTCACCGAAGCAAGCCGTCAGTGACGACGAGCAGGTCTAGTTGTTGACAGTTCCAGGTTCGGTCCTGCCCCCACCTCGTTGACACACTTCGTGGCGTTGGTACATCGACCCTTGAATTGCCTCGTGCCAGCACACTGGACTTGGCGATGTGACATACCGCAGCGCCTCGAAGGTGATCAGACTAAAGCTGACAGTTCTGACCGCTTCGGCCGATTCGA